CTATATGGGGATCTTATTATAATGCACCCAAAGCCATATTCTATCTACTTAAGGGAGAATATACCCTAAACCCATAAATAGTAGCTTTCATTTTCTTTTCCATTATCCCAAAATAACCCTAATATAACCCAAGCAGTGGAATGTCCTGCGAAGTCTGGCGGCGGGAGTCCAATACTCGGCAAGACATGGCAGCTGGCTCAATGCAATCTGAATGGTCTTGGCGGGTCGCCTCACAGTAATGCCTGCGGTGCTGGCTATGGAGCTGCCTGCGGCTCGGAGGAAAAGGTCTGGGCACCAGCTCCGCCAGCGAGCCACTGCACATGGGAAGGACCTTCAACAATAGCCCTGCATACCCTCAATAGTCCTTGCTAGGACGGTCTGTAAGACGGGATGGCATGACCACCTCAGTCCTAGCAGGGAACCGTGTTCGAGGTGTCTCCCACCGCCACCGCCTACAGCGAACCGAATTCCGGTCAGGCAACGGCGCCGTTGTCTCAAAAAACATGTCTCTGTCGGAGAGGAAAGGCAGGCACATGAGAGATCATGAGATCACATCACATGGCCAAACCATCAACAAATATCAGGGAATGTGCGGGTCAAGGTATTCAACAGAAAGTGGGCACCAAAACGGACCATGCTGCACTGAAGGTTTGCGGCAAGAAAGCGATACTTGCCAAGACATGGCAGTGGCAGCCGTCCGTCTGATGCAAGCTGAGTGGTCTGAGCGGGTCGCCTCACAGAAGGAGCGCCTGCTTTTATGCGAAACGACAGGCCAGGCAGTAGCTGCTGTCTCAACTGCAATGAGCTAGCAAGAAAGTCAATCTCGGAAGTAGCATGTCAATTGCACAGAGAGGAATGAACAGGTTGCGAGTTCGGATCGGATTGGCAAGGAAGCAAGAGTCCGCCTGACAACAAAGGCAGCATCGCTTGCAGTCTGGAACGAAATTCCAGGCAGGCGGCGCCGTTGTCTCAACTGCAGTGATCTGGATGGCAAGCAGCGGCCGAACGAGAGTTCGTCCGGCCACTAAAGGAGCCTCGCCTACGATCTGGCACGAAACTCTAGAAAGGCGGTGCTGTCGTCTCAACTGCAATGACCTGGACAGTCTTGGGGGAGTGCGCCCAGGAGCACACCCAAAACGCCACCCGCAGCAGCGCAGCGCCCACAAGTTGCAAACGACCAGTGGGGATGGGAGAGTCCGGTCAGCAAGGAGAGATCTTGCTCTGGGAAGGCACAACTGGAATCTGACATACGGAAGAACATCATAGCTGAATCATTGCTGTCCAGTCAGCGAAATGGCCTTGACTAGCGGCTTCAGAAAAGGGTGGCTGCTGCATCGCAGATGGCAAGGGAGAGCATAGAAGGCAACCTCAAGTTGATCAGATTCCATACCTGGTACCACTGAAGCAAGAATAGCAAAGCTGCTTGTCAACGTACTGAACCACAGGTTGGCAGAGGTGTGAGGCATTACAGATGAAGGAGTCTCGGCCACCACAATTGCCAAGGCCATGCTTGTGAGAAGCCATCAGCGATGACCATGAAGCCTCTGCTGCAAGAGAGCAAGAAATCTGTGGCCCAGTGTGTGCGACTGAAAGTTGGCCATGGCACTCTCCATCAGGGATGACTCGAGACAAACAGTGACAAATCATGCTCCGGAAGCCCGAACCTTCTGCAATTCGATGGGCGCAAAGAGTCGGCAACACACTGCCTAGTTAACAAGCTGCCGGGCTGGCTCGCAGCAATCCTGCGCGGACAGCGTGCATCTGGCTTGTGTACCCGTTGCCTCATATAATTGCAAAGTTTAGACAGTCGCCTCTTTCGGAACCTGCAGATCTCAAACACGAAGGCAGCGTTGCGTTGGATCGGGCGCCTCAGCAACAGATGCCGACAGTCTGTGAAGGCGGCATGACATCACCCCGTGTTTGGTGGCGGGCGGGGGAAGATCGAGAATGGACATGTCCATTTAGATTGTAGGGTCCTCCCACCTCACTGACCCGCCACACTGGTCTGAGGCACAAGACGCAAGACAATTGGAAGCAACACTTTCCTAAGCTCCCATGCGCCAATCTGATGCGGCGTGGGTTGTGTATCGAAAGAGATATGGATACGTCCAATGTCGCTGTATCCATACTTGGACGTACGTCCCCGACTTGGCTTATTTAGAGACAATGGGGGATGGCATGAATGAGATGGCGGCTACAAGGAAGACAATGCAGCTGGAGATGAGCCATGCTGCGTCCCAAGATCAACGACATTGATCGGGGGGAACGGGGAGAGCCTTGCAGAGATCTGTCAGCGCCACGCAACGGGTCAGCCTGTCAGCCAGCAGTTCGATGATCGAACGCTGGAGGTCGGAGCGTAGCACTATGAGTATGTTGGGCATGAACCTGAAAAATTGAAAACCTTGCGGGACATGAGCACCACACGCAGTCTTGAGCAAACCTGAGCAAAGATGAGCAAACAACTTTGCGGGCCATGCGAAGACAATTTGATCAGCAGTGGAGCTCTCCGCAATGTCCACCGGTACTGTGCGCATGGGTGACATACGCCAAACCAGGCAGACTTTTGCCAACAAATATGTCCAGTCCCCGGGTGGCCTGGACTGCTGGCTTGTGAACTTGAAAAGCTGATGGGCCCCACCTGATTTTTGCATCCAGGATGGCCCAGGCCAGACGAGTGTCCTGGCAACTGAAAGGTTTTCTCTGAGGTCACTGGCGCGTGGACATCATGGACCACTCTGAGCATATCTGAGCTTCCAGCGGCCGGAATAAAATCGTTTGGCCCCATCGCTGTTACGATTGCGGCGCAACGCAAGACAAATGGCAACCTACTGTGCTCAGGTGTTCAATCACACGGGCTCTGATGCCAGAGGGTTGTTTTTTCAAACGTTCGAGAATTCAAGGCTTCTTGGAAATTTGGGGATCCTTGCTTTCGTGTAGGTTAGACTATCTCACAAGCATCTCGCTTCTAGAAAGGACTGTCCGATCGAAAAAACGCCACACATCCTACTCATGACTCCTTCAAAACCGACTTTATTGGGCCATAGATGCAACATCATGAATCATGGTGCATCAGATCAATTGCACACTTGCGCTCGACAAAATTGTGCAAGTGCCCTGCGCCATGTTGGCCGTGTCTTAGCCGTGTTGCGGGCCTTTTGTGTGAAGTTGTGGGTCCTAAAGTCGTGACACAACGCGGTTGGCCAATGCAGATTTTCAGTCAGCACCATTGCCAAAGGTACACGTGACTTTTGC